GAATTCGTGTAAATTTCCTCGAAAACGTATTTTATTTAAAAATGTTCATCATCGTTTGTTTCTACAATTCTTCTCCTTCTATAAATTTATATAAATACGATAGTCGCGCAACATCTCCACAAATGAGTTTTTCCGTACCTATTCCTTCATTTCCAAGTCTAAATTCATAAATCATGAACGCATGACTTTTCATCTCCTCGCTCACCACCTTTACTCGGATACATGAACAATGAAATATCCAAACAAATGGGGAGGGGGATGCACAGAGCTGCTAAATAAAACATAAATTTCTGTAAAAAAAATAAAACGTGCAGTAGATGTGCTATCGAGTCGCTATCTCTTCCTTAAAGATATTCAACATTATACAAAGAGATGCATAGATTTTTAATTATTTAATCAAACTCGTGGAAAGCCAACCATCGCCGATAAAACGTCTCTCAAATTTTCTTGCTCAAATTACAATGCAACGTAATTAATATATATACAAAACGCTTAAAATTTTTAATCGTTAATTAAAAACCTTGTTTCCACGATAAAAAAAAAAAACAGCTGTCTTTTCTTCTCTTTCCTACGATATTTTTCTCCGCAGAGAAGGAAGAAAAAATCCTCCGTGACGCAACACGCGCCGAAATCGATATGACAATCTTTCGAACCGATGTGCATTCATGTGCTTTCTAGCCGATGATAAATGCATTCGCCCTCGTACGCGGCCCGATACGCGAATCGTGTACACACGCAAACGATCGTATTTCACGTCACGGAGGAAATGAGTTCGGTTGCATCGGGGAACTTGTATTGAATTAAGGGATGAATGGATGGAGAGAGAGAGAGAGAGAGAGCGAAGGAATGGGGGAAAAAAAATAACAAAAAAGAATAAAAGAGAGCACATTCGATGGTGGATTTTGTTCCACCCGGCTATCTGAACTAGAAGCTAACGAGAAGAATATTTAAAACTCTCGTTTCGAAAATTTGCCCAACTTCAGATCGAAATCTTCTGTGAAATTCACTTTTGCGAATAGCGCAAAAATCAGCGTTCGAAAAGACTATCGTTGCTCGATTGGAACGTGAAACACATCCCCTATCGATAAGTTGGATTAGTAATATCAATTTTAATTTTATATATTACTATTTTATATAAAAATAACCTAAGAAATAACAAATTTAATTTATTAAATAAAATTTATTATTGATTTTTTTTTAACAATTTTATTACATTAATCTGATTAGGAAAACAATTAATTGAATATCCATTTACATATATTAATATATTTTTTACAACAACATATTTCCTATATTTCTTCATAATATTTTATACAAGAAAACTATGAGATTTATTAATTTGAAAATCAAAATAATTTAATAAATTTTTAGTTAATGAACTTGAACAAGTATATATTTTGAAAATATATTATAGAAATTGAACTTTTCTATTAACTTAAAGATATCTAATCTATTAATAATTCTTTTATTAAATATAAATATAATAAATATATTATTAACCAATATCAATATTTCTATTCAACATATAAATATTAATTTATCAAATCGAATTCGAGGTAAAATTCCACGAACTCAAGTAATTAAACAAATATGAAAAATAAAAGTTATAATAAATATTAATGATCAATATTCAAATCCATAAAATATTATAGTTAATACTAATCTTATAAGTATAATATTTATATATTCTGATAAAAAAATTAAAACAAATATTCTTCTATGATATTCCACATTAATCCATTTGTATTCCCAATTTCTCTCCATCAATTTAATTGCGGAACGATATATCTTCTTGTGGGAAGAGCGTTACCCGATATTTATTTAACGATACACGCGCGTGCACGTTCGAATATATTTGCGCGAAACGAAAATGAAGCAAAGGCTTGGAAAGAAGGGGAATATACAGATTCAGAAGTATATTATATACACCGTAAAAATTGACGATTCGTAACGTAATTCATGCTAGAGAATTAATTAGCTACGAGCTTATATGTGTATAAGTATATATAAGTAGTAAGTATCGATAAAAATTGACGCTCAAGTGGTGACAGCCGATATATGGTCAGACTTCGGCGAACGGAATTAGCATTGGAGCCTGGTGTGTTTTGCACACGGGTATATAATTTATAAATGGGGGGGAGAGGGCCATTATAAATGATCGAAGAAATTGATTTTCTTTGCATTCTGTAATCGTTGTCGTTCGATGAAATTCGCTCGCTCTTGTTTTTAATTCAACGAACGAGTCGAATACTCGTTCGAATTTCGAGTTTACCTTTCTTTTCCTCCGCCACAAGTTTCGACCATATATTCGGCAATGGTAGAATTTTTCTCGAACATTGGGTGAAACTATTTGAATCAGAGAGTCTGTGCGATCTGTTTTCAGCCGAGGCAGGGATCGCAGTAGCGGCGGAAATGAAGCAGCCGGAGGAGCGCACCGCCGAGGAAAAAATGGCGTTGCTCGGGAAACCGAAGTTGGGCGAGGTGTTCAGGGCACAGATACGGATCAAAGAGTCGAAGGAGTTCAAGAATACCGTGGACAAACTGGTGCAAAGGGCCAACGCCTCTATACTGCTCGGTGAGTCGATACTTTTTTTTTTTTTTTTTTTTTTTCCGATTTAAAAAATTCCCTCGAGACTTTCCTCAGACTTGTTCGAGCGACGAAGAAGAAGTTTGAACAGTTTCCTTCCCCCCCTTTTTCAATTTTTCAAAGACCTTTTTTTAAAAGATCTTTTTTCTCTTTGTCTTCGCTCTTCTCTCGCCGACGATTTCCACTTTTCTCGTCGTTTATACCTTTATTTCTGCATAATTTTGGAAAATTAACTTCTCGTTCCGCTTATTTTAAAAGGGACTTTTTACAAGGTGGAACGCTCGAGAACTCGATTCTTGTCCCTCCGACAACTACTTTATTCCCTCTAACAGGCGAGACAGCCTGTTTTCTTCCTTGATCCTCCAGCATTTTATCATTTCAGCCGGTTCTCGTCCTCTCTTATTTTCCACCTGCATTATCCACCACTTCAAATCCTCCTTATTGTACCACTCGAGTGTAAATTTGCCCGTGAACAGACCTTGATTAAAACAGGACAAGTTGAGAAACTGTTAAGCTGTTCCACTGGCGAAAGGAAACAAACGGAATCACGCTTAAGACTGTATTTGATGAAGAACAATTAGAAGGAAGAATACACCCATTTTTAGCAACTTTTCTTTTTCGGCCTGGATTCCTCATTCCTCTCTCTTTTTAAACATTTTTTGTTAACATTTAATACAAGAGGATGAGATTTTTATTCAATATTTGATCTCCTCCAAGATTTTTATCTTCGTTCTTATCTCTTTATTTCCATGTTATTTGTGCCGATTAACGGAGTGAAAGAGAACATGGCGATAAGAAATTATCTATATATTTCCTGGCTAATAGAATCCAATAATGTACGGCTTATTGCTTTTGGAGAAGAAAGAATCGGCCACACCGGTCTAAGCCGGAAAAAGGTCGAGAAAAATCTCTTCCGTCAGCTGGATCGGACTATCGTGGCCAATCGAGTTATCCGCATCGTTGGCGAAAGTACCTTCTCCCTAATCCTAATATTTGCACAGCCTGTCGGAATGGACAGCCATACGTGACGCTAATCGCGCTCGTGTTTGTGACCTTCTGTACATCTGTCGATTAGATAAAAATATGGAACTGGAAACGAAGAATTAGAGGAAAATTCTATATTTAATTTTTAAAACGCGAACAAACATTTTATAATTTAAAAAAAAAAGAAATTGTTTCATGCTTAACCCATTATCCGTTTTAAAAATTAATATTTCGATTGAAACACAATTCGTTTGTGATTAACTATTATCCAAAGATGATCGTTTATCCGGTTTGATTGAATTTTTCTTTTTAATTTCTTTGTCGATATTTCGTCCATCTTTCGTTCATTTTAATTCACATTAAACAAACCTCTCCATTCATTCTATCTATATATAATTTCAGAATCAGAGACACGAGAAAATATTCAAACGAGATTAAAACATCGAGAGAGATTAAAATCTAAATCTACTCTGCGCGGGTAAACGCACAAACTTGTCCCGTTAAAACCATCTTGAAGTTGGATTACCTGGTCGGTAAACGATAAATTCGAGCAAAACGAAGTTTTCGAGAGAATTCGTATTATTTCCCCACCCCCTTCTTCTTCCTATCTTTTTAATCACCTTTAATCCTCCAGCTTCGTAACTGCATCGTATTGCATATGTATTACAACGCGTAAAGAAGAGAACGCATGACGGTGAAAGAGCTACTTCGTTTCTGCTCCATTTCACTTGTTCCATGGTTGATATTACATTCGAGATCACTGTCCCGTTATATTGAGTTCCAAACTTGGATCCTGTCGCAAGCAAGAGCGAGAGAGAGGAGGGATGAGGAGGTCGTTGAAAAGGGGGTTGAGTTAACGCAAAGTCCGGTAAGTCCGGAAACGAGGGGTTGAGAGAAGGAGCGAAAGTTGAGAGAAGGAACTGCAGCGTCGGCTGGCGAACCTTCTGGTATCCTTCTATCGCGCGCGAGATTCCTTTTGTTCGACGCCCGTTTTGCATTTCACGGTTTGCATCCACCCTTTTGCGAGAAGAAAATCGCCGGGGACGCGCCTTCTTTGCGCCACGATGACGCGTCTTCCTTTCGAACGGTGTAGCTTCTCCCTTCCTCTCGTTCGCTCGCCCTGTCTCGAAGGATCGAATTCACGTTTCGCTCGATGGAAATTCGGAGGCGGGGTGGAAAGAATAGGAGGAAGGAAAAACGAAACAAGGGAGGGAACCGTCGAAATTAATGGATTCCTCCAGCTCCGGATGAGGGGAATCGACTTTGCACCCCGGAACAAGTGGTCGACAAAGGAAAGAAAGGGAATTCCGTGGCGCGTTTCCGAGGCATCCGATTGATTTATTGGCTGGCAATGTGTCTATCGAGTCGGGGGACATCTTCGTTAATCGAGCTCACCTCCCTCTGTCCGATCTAATTCCGCGAGTGGAATTGCGCTCGAGCGTGACATTGCCGTTCGAGGCGATTGAGCCTTGATGTCACGGCGAATCCTCGAGCGTTTGTCAACCCGTGAAAGATGTTTCGTGATGATATCGTTAAAGTTTAAAACGGATGGAAGAATTTTTATTTCGTTCCTTCGTTCTGGATTGAATTAAGGATAAGGTTCGAAAGAGGGAATCGAAGAATTTGGCTGATGGAGTAACGTAAAAGTTAAATGGAAGCAAAATGGGAAAATGGGAAATTAACCTATGATCCTTTTCCACGGTCGCTTGGTTTGTTACGGTCGTTAACGTATTCAAATAAATTTCGAGGTATTATTAACCCGCCGCAGCCACCATATTCCGGAATGTTTATATAATCGCGCTGGACGTTTGCAAGATAACATTACGCTTGCTAGTTGAAATGAAAATGAAATTTAAATGGAATTCCAAATGTTAACCTCGTTCGAATTCAGTTTAAGATCGTTCAATTTTTATTTTTAACTTCGATCCCAAGTATTCGTAGAATATCGAAACACAGCGAAAAAAATGATTTTTGCATCGTAAATTTTCGAAGAGAAATCACTTTCCAATGCAATTTTTCGTGAACAATGTTAAAAACAAAGCTACGAAATTAATCGAAAACTTTAAATCTTATTGGAGATCTAATACGCTTGCCTGTTGCCTGATATTCGTGCGATATTGTCCGATATTAGCCGATATTATTCGACGTTGCCCGATGTTAACCGACGATACCCGATAATACCCGATGTCCGCAATTACAACTCGACGTTGTTCTACCCCTAAAGACAATTGCTGAATAGCACTGGCTTAAAGCGCTCGTCTTAAACCACCATTTCATTAATTTTGCTACATCTCAGCATTGTCCTATCGTTCTCGTCAAGTGGCTGTGCTCAAGAAACGAACGATACCGGGATCTACATACGTAGCAAATTCGATTACGCGTCGTAATTGAAGAACGATGCTCGTGCTAGGTCAAGCATAAAGTAGAACGCGTGTTTCCAGATATACCAGCTAACTGTCCAGTAAAATGAACCAACCATCACGGATCTCTCCCTTACACGCGCGTGTACAAGAACGGAATAGTTGCATTTTCCCTCGAATAAATCATTTAACCCTCGTGTACTGAACCATTTCTTTAATGTATATCTGTATTCAATTTTATCCGGATAATATATTTTAATTTTATTCATTATTTTATATTGGAATATACGAAGGAATTTCTTTTAACAGAATCTTCGAGTATAATAATTGAATTCAATTTTTTCAGGATGATATTTATTTGATTTATATTCATATTTTGATGGAATATATGAAGGAACATCGGTACAATAATATTGATCAATTCACGTTTATTTATTTTATACAATTCCATCTTTCTTCGCAAAAAAAAAAAAAAAAATGATAATCCGTTTGTTCCCAAATTCCCTATCTTTAATAATAACATATATATATATATAATAAGTTTTACTCGCGATAATTCCAAGAATGGCAAGATACGGCGAATTTACCTCTGTCGTTAATGAAATTATCCGATAAAGAGATTCACACCGAGTAAGCGAATTTTCCTCTAACGATTTCGATTCAAGACGTATACCGCGAAATTGTGCACTCGGTGTAGCGCTGCAACTTACCATCGAGAACTTACTCGGCGCTTTAAATGTAAATTCGCAAAGCGTATCCACACGTGGAAGTAGATTCCTGGAATCTGGAATCTGTCTCTCCTCGCGATCTCGACCTCCTTCAGGATTTCCTCATTGAATCTTGTTTGGAAATCGTGCAACGTCATAATTTTGACAGGCGTCCAACGTTCGTCATTATCTCGGTTGAAAAAGTGAAGTGACAAATTATTTCAACCTTGTATATATATATATATATATATGCTGTCAAACCTTGATCTTGTTTTTCAAACTCTTCGTTGCGATTTTTCTCTCCGTAGAAACACCGTATTGAAATTCAGATTAGGCATCGACAGAAGAGAGAAAACGAAAATGCAAAAATATCGAAAATAGGTCGGAATATCTATGGAAAAAAATTCTACTTCTGCTACGCTCGTCGCAACCGGATGCCGGAGAAAAAAAAAAAAAGAATGCAAATTTTCGGAACATTTCGAGATTCAACCACGTTCAGATTTCGTTCATTAAACGAATTATCCGCCATGATTTATTTGAACGAAGTGTTACTCGAAAGAAGATAAAATTCATCCAAGAATTAGCGAGAATTCTTCTTGGGAAGTTTTCGAGTGAATGACCCTTTGTGATTTTTATTCGAGTCGAAAAATAAAAGAGACAAAGGGGGAAGGGAAAGAATTGGCATCCTTTGTGCACTCACCCCAACCTGCCTTCGGGCAAGTTAATTTTAAACTCAAAGGTGCGAGCCGTCGGTCTACCGCCTTTAATGCGTTCGATTCCATTTATTTTACGATAGACGATTTTCGAATCAGTTCTCTTTGAGTTTCGTACGAATTAGATTCATTGATCGTGGCCCCTTTGAACGTGGAAATCCATTCATGGATTCCTTTATTCAAAATTGTAATTAAATTAAGAATTATAATTTAAACCCAAAAAAAAACTCAAGTTGAATAATTAAATTTTTCGATTAAAAAATTTTCAATTACTCCGAGTAATTAACGTTGAATTCTTGAATAACGAAACGTTCCTCTTCAAAAATCATGGAGCAGAATTCCACGTAACACTTACACACTCGTTTCTTTTTCTTTCTTCCTCTCTCTCTCTCTCTCTCTCTCTCTCTCTCTCTCT